AAGTATCTGCCCACACGCCGGTTGTCTGCATGCAAGTGAGGGAACAGTCATCCCACCCACACCCCCCCCCCCCCCTCTGCATATAGTTTACTAAAGATAAGAATTACGGAATAATTCCATGAATTTAATAGCTATTGATCCAAAGTTTGGAGGTCCAGTAATTGGGCAAAACACAAGTATTTGATTGTGTATAAAACTAGTTTTGGCGGCGGAAAAACTTCAGGATTATACTGCATTTTTAACCTCAATTATTTTCTGATTTGAAGGCAAGAAAGCAACCAATGACCAATGAGAAAATAATAAAAGAAACAGCCATAAGTGTCTTGGGCTTTGCAGACCGGTTGTCATTGCCGCAGAAGATTCTGGACTTTTGTGGTAGTCTTCCCATCTACGATGTCGAAGACGTGTCAGTAGAGGCCATGAACGCAACTCTTTACAGCGTGCAAGGTAGAGGAAAAAAAGCAAACATCTTTTGTATAAATGACCATGACTATAGGCTGCAATAAACTCGTTAGGCCATCTTCAAAAGTATCCGGTCATTTTTTGAAACGGAGATTTTTTTTCTCCGTTTTCAAATAATTGTGTTATCATTCGATCAAGCGAAGCGATCTGCCATTTTCACGTAAGAGCGTTGGCAAGAAGGAGAAAAGCGTGGTTTCATTTACGCATGAGCAGAATATTATTTGCAGTCAAACAAAGTTAAACGACACTGCGCATGAGCAGACCATTATTTGTAGGCAGTTATTGGCAGGCCCATGCAGTGGAAAAAAAATTGCAACAAATGATAATTAATATTCGCATATACGTTTGAGAATGAACTAGTCAGGGCCAGCGCCCACGTAGTGCCCGGTGTTCTCGCCAGAGGCAAGACAGATATAGATGATGATTGTGATCAGATAGACCAAAGGGTAGAAAGGTCTGCGGTTTATCACAGTGAGCGTGCAGGTTTTTTAACAGTTAACACTAAGTCCAGGATAGTGTCCTTCCGGGTTGGCGTCTTCAGGATTTGCTTTAGATAAAAGTGTCTTTAAAGCCGCGTGACGAGTCAATTAAACCTTCGGCTATAATAATAAGCGCGTAGTTGGAGTAAATAGACTCAGCCGCTGCCAGAACGGTTGAACAAATGGTCACGGATAACGTTGACATCTGTTGCTGGGGTTGGGTGGGGGGGGGGGGGGGGGGGG